CCTGCATACCACTGTTTTGTTGTTATTATTTTAATTTCTCATTACCGCTTAATGTGCTGTTGATTGTAACATCTTATTTGTCATCATCTGTAATTATTGCATGATATTTCTTGTTTGTGACTAGTATATCTTAGTATATTTTCCTGCCTTGGACATGTTACATTTGGGAATGCCATCATAATTTCGTTGTTTGTTGTTCTCAGCAATTCAGTGACAACAAAGTCTTATATGTCATTAGAGAATTATTAATTATTTTTAAATATGGTTTTCGGTAAATAAATCCATGCAAACAAATTCTGTTGTATCATCCACTAGATGCCAGTGTTGAATCATTTTTGCTGAATGTTTTTAATCCACAGATTTGCATGTTGATTGAATTCATTTGAATGTTTGAAAGGTTTGTGTTGCACCGTGTCGAATTCAAGAATTCTGTTTTTTCTTAAGAATCCCTCTGCATCATTTCTGGGATAAAAATGAATATGAGGGGAAAAAAGTGATTAAAAAACACAAAAAAAAATATGCATCACTGCAGAAAGTCAGTTCAGCTAAAAGCGCCAGTTGAACCACATGACAGAGGGGAATAAATGCTGATGCTAACATGTGCTGCCCTCACGTAATGAATTCTGTGTGTAAATGGGATTGGAAAACTCTGGGAAGTCCATGCATGTGGAGCCTCCGTGTTGGCACTTAGTGATCAAGGAAAGTGGTAAATCCCGAAGAGTGAGGCTGGCCCTAACCTGACACGAGTGAGCCCAAAAGCGCTGACTAGCTCCAGCTAACCAAAGTCACGTGGCCCATGCATTATGAATTCTGAACGAATGCCACTGTCTTCCCACCTCCCCCGTGCAAAATAGAGCTTCATCCTTGGCACTGAGACGCGCCGACTGCTAATCGATAGAACTGTGTTGGATTAATTATAATGCTTAGATGATGCTGCTGAATTATCAAGTGGACCAAAATACTTCATTTCTCTGCGTGTCTGGTCTGTGGGGGATGCAGAGTGAGTTTCAGCCCTGTCTTTGTTATTGAGGTTGCTCACCTTCAAAAATGACCCCTACCTAGTGTGCCTTTCCAGGCTGGGGATAAGTTAACCTTGGCCAAAACATACATCCATGTGTCAAATGATGGATTTAAACCCCCTCCCCCACCCAGCCTGTGAGCCCGATACCAATCAGGATGCAGTGGTGTCTGGCTGCTTGTCATTAGCATTATAATGTGTCTTCGGTTTCCATGTGCAAGCTGTTCATTTCAAGTTTACAGTTTATTTCTCTGGACAAATTGACTCCCTTTCCTCCGGATGATTTAAAAAGTATTCAACATAACAGGGAAGTAAAATTACCAGATAATTGTTTTGTGAGAACATTAAGGGGGAATACTGAGGCAGTCTCATTCGATAGGTTTCTGTTTCCAGTCAAGTAGTTTCATGTGGTTCAGATACTTTTTATTTTATGCCAAGATTTTAGGTCAAATTATACTAACAATAATACTGATTACCTATTTAGTAGAACAATGATAAATGTAGAGCAGATCAACTAGATAGAGATCTTAGTTATAAAGAATCTGTATACCTGAGTTCCTGGTAGAAATCAATATATGAAAAACATACATAAAATGTATGTATAAAAAAAACAAACATAAAATGCTTGTTTTCAGAGGAGAGCTTTACCTTGTAGCAGACAAACTCTTGGGATGCTTGCTGCCTGTTATACCTCAAAGAAAAGGCATTGGACCCGAAGAGCCCCTCAGGAACCTCCGGAAGCCCCCGGCTCAATCCTTCATGTGCCCTTGATCCTGCGGTTGCCTTTAATCTTCTGGTTTGACCTCTCTTGATATCGGTACTCCGTGGTGCCGACACCCAGGACGGCTTATCTGCTTGTCAGTGGGTGAATCAAGTATAAATAAATTTTCTGTTGCCTTTAATCAATTATATCTTCCCATCGCAAAAAAAAGCCAAACAAAGAGACTCAGTAAGATTTTCTTAAGTCTTCGGCCCACAAGTCAAGCTCGATGGATGCTGACACATGACTGAAACTGAGAATGGGCATATGTGTGACCCTCTTTCTCAGATTTAATCCTCTTCTATTTGACTTGATGTAATATATTGGCTGCTTGCTCCCACAGATGTACCTGACCTGTGATTAGGGTTGGCTACTGAAATGATCTGTATGTAGGCTATTGGACCTTATTGTAATGCAAATTTCAGTTCTTCACTTCGGTGCCACTTAAATGCCCGGGCTGTTGATTGAAATTCACTCTGGACAAAAGCGTTGAGACATCTGGCCATTACACCCATAGGAACTTTTATGACATCCCATTCCATATCCATAAGCACCAATATGGAGTTGGTCCACACTTTGCAGCTGTCACTCTTCTGGGAAGATTTTCCACAAGATTTTGGAGCGTATCTATCGGAATCTTTGCTCATTTATCCAGAAGAGCATTTGTGAGGTCAAGCACTGATGTTGGACGTGAAGGCCTGGCTTGCAATCTCAGTTCTAGTTTATCCCAGAGTTGTTTGATGGGGTTGAGGTCAGGGTCCAAGTCCAGGATAAGCTCCAGACTCTGAATAAGTGGTTTCAGAAAATGATGGATGGATGGGAGGGACCATCTCAAATTTATTTATATTTATATATTTAAGGTGTCAAGTTAATATATTCAATTTGAAATTAAATTTGCCTTAGAAATAAAAAAGCCGTGTCACTGACCTTCATTTTGTACCTTATTTTTTGTTAAGCACTGATCAGGCACAATTTAAGCACTGGCACAGTTTTAAAAGTATCGTTTTAGCACTTGTAATGGGAAAAAAACAAAATCCACCCCATGTTACATTTATACTTTTGCACAAATTGACGTCAGTGACATCATTCAGGATTTGAACCAACCATCTTCTAATCATATGCTCTGGTAAAAGCCCACTGAGCCACACAGTGCCTCCTGTGTTACACAGCATGCCCGCATATTGGCTTCCAGCTTTTCTTCAACTTTTATTGGTCAGTTTGGGGTGGGGTGTTCGTTTGTGCTGGAATGTGTGTTTTTATTGTGCAACACATATTCCAAACCAGAACCTCCAGACCTACAACTTCCAGCTATAGCATCAGTGAGAGGCCTACGCCTGACCCGTTCATCAGAAGTCTGAGTCATCATGGAAATGGTCATCCAAATTTCCCGTCCCTTCAGCTTCCAAGGAGTTTCCAGTCTGTCAGTGAACAGTTTACATCTGGGGAATCAGGTCAGCTGACTGGCTATTCATATGATGGCCTCGGGGAGCCTCTTTGCTCAGTGTTAATTTTATGGACAAGTGGGTGTCACATGACAGTGTGTGTGAGAGAGAAGGGTTATTTAAAACCTGATCGAGTTGAACGCATTCTGTGGCTGGAATGGGCTCCCATCGTGCCTTTCTCGTGGGAAAATATCAGAACATACATTACTAAAATAATTTAGGTGAGCAGTCAATCTGCTCTGCTCCATAAGCCCTCCCACATCTCATTTCCTCCTTCTTAAATGGCCTGATTCCTCCATCACTCATGTCTGTTCAGGAAGGTCATGTTCTTATGAGTTTTTTTGCTGTTTTTTGATGGCTTAGAGGGCCTTGTTCTTGAAATGCAGCCTGTGATAGCACATCGGAAACAGCTGGGGACTGCTACCGATTTGGTTCTCATTTTTGTGCTGATTATTTTAATTTTACTTATTTATGTAGAAGTGATTTTAGATTGTCTACAACTTTGTAGAAGCCTAGTGAAAGACCAAAGCTATCAGCTAGGTGGACTCAGTGTCCTTAGTCACATTGTAAGTGCACAATTTCAGATGAACATAACCTTCAGCACTCTGTTGTACGTATACTTAGCATGCAGAATGCTACCATATACCATGCTAAAATATGACCATATGTGCAGTAAAGTAATCTAGATGTTTATTCCATGTCAGGTCAGGGGCGAGCTCTGCTGCTAAGGCCTTTGTGTGGTGACACGACACAAAAAAGCTCTTGCAAACAATGCCGGGTAAATGATGTTCCTCTACCCTGCACTTTCAGTGACCCCTCTGCTATACCTCCAAGATACTGTACTGTCTGTGCAGCTCTGACAGCTGCTAAGTTGAATAATCAGTTGCCTTCCTGCCATCCTGTTCCCTGATCAGGCTTAATTTCCAGTGATATTCTTTATCTGCACTCTTCGGACTTGCTGCAGTGCTCTATTCTTTATAACCTACAATTAAATTGGAATATTTTTTTTAAATAATGCTATCGTCTTAAGCGCATCTGTAATTTGTGTTTATGGTTTTGGTTGAAATGACCGTCATATTTTTGAAGCTGTAATTCAGACTGACGGGAGGGGGGGGGGGCAATACTTAAGAAACTGGACATGTTCTCCAGAAGGTGCAGGGGAGCGCCTAAATTGCTTATAAAAAATGCGCGGATTTTGAAAAATGGTTTAAAATCGCAGCAGGTTAGCTGGGAGGGTAAAGGGGGTGTGCAGACGAATAATGTGATCGTCCTTCAGCTCACCGAAGATATCAGTCGCGCTGTAACAATATGAATGAAGACATGCGCGTTATCTGTGATGTACATTCTCCCTCGCAAAATCTATTGGCCTACATAATAACAAATTTTTATAAAGATAAATATGAATTTTGCAATTTATTCACGTTATTTACTGAGCCTGAGTGAGGTCAGGCTTTAATAGAAGGTACTTTTGTAGTCAGCCCACTAATTATTTAAAAAGGTAACGAAAGATGTAAGTAGGCGATTTAGAGGGTTATTATCCTTCGGGGTATTTCTCTTAGTGTGGTTGCATATACTTATATAAATCGTGTGGTTTGCGGCATGTTGGCATTATTTATTGTGAATATTTACTTAAGTTTATGCACTGTTCGTCATCATTATTCTTCATCCATACTTTAAAACACGGACGCTGTGTGCGCGATGGCCGCAGGGCGGCGTCCTCACCCGCCTAATCGCATCTGCAGCGCTGGAGCAGGACGAAAAGCAAGTGAACTAGGAACAGAAACCCCGCGGACCCCCGGGGCGCTCCGACGCCGGGATTATCGGCTTCCTATTATTGATTTAAAGTGCGAATCAGGGGAGGGGGATGCGCCCACTTTCCGGACGGTCGATGAGTCGTGGAGGAGAGCGTGAAGATGCCGGCTTCGCACCGGGTCACTTTGAGTGTAGAGGGAGTGAAACCATAATGTTTAACCTCGTTCATCGTCAGTTCCGGGTCCTGGTCGGTAGCTGCATCGAACTACCTTCTTACTCTTATTCCAGTTCTTCTTTTCTTCCACAGCAGGTCTCTCTCCCTGCGCAACTTGCACTTGATCCTTAAAGTAAATTGTCATCGCTTCGCGCTGAGAGCCGGATTCCTGTCCCCCTCCTCCCTCTAAACGGAGGACCAGCAACGTGCTTTGAATGTCGAGCAGACTTCAACTAATACTGACTTCCCTTTTAATGCTGGTTTGCATCGTCCGGCGCGCTGATCTGCAAACTCGGCGGATGGTATTTTCGAGACGATTTTTCAAGCATTTACGCGCTTTGATCGCATTAAATCATCCAGGGATCTCAGTTTCATTACCAGTTGCTTCTTTTTGGCACCTCTTTTATTTCCTTCCTACGATCAGTGAAAGAAACGTGCGGGTATGAAGTCCCGATAAAAACGCCGTGTGACAAATTGGCGGTCTTTTGTCTCGGCGTGCTTACCATTTCGGGGGTAAACTCATGGCTGCTCTCTATCAAAGATTTACCGGGAAGATTAACACCAACAGATCCTTCCCAGCTCCACCTGAGGCCAGCCATCTGCTTGGCGGAAATCGAGCCGATGAGGACGGAGCAAGACCGAACTCGGGCCCCTCACAGGGCGATCTCCCCCGGCTCCCCTATCGACGGCGGGGGGAACGCGAAGATGAGGATGTAAGGCAAATTAATGTCCTCCTCTTGCTAACCCCCGGTGTCCTGTGTTTGCAGACAGGTGGAGTTGTGTTGTGGTTTGCATTGAGGATATCGTGTGCCTGTGCTTGTGATGTTCACATTACTGAGAGCATGGCATGTGTAGTATTTACTTGCAGCGCTGCATGTAAGGATGTACCTGCATCCGCAAACAATACGTACACCTGGGAGCTTTGTAGTAAATTTCGCCATCGCATTTTTCGCATTATTAAAAATGTTTTCATGAACTACGTCAGAAATGCAGTTTTCCCCGTTGTCACTTAAACGGATGTGTCAGCCATCCTTGCCAGTTCGGTATTTCCTAGGATTTGGCGAGTCATTTTAAAAATTACAGGCGATAAATCAAAGAGATGGGTGCCAGATCCAGCCCACGACAGGTATTATTAAATTAGTCATTTTCTGAAGGGATTTGTGGACATCACCGCTCCATCTTGGACTCATTCTACTACTGATGTTTTTTTTTTGCCGTTTTATTAAAGTTACAGGAGTTTAGGCAAAGTGTTTCATTTACGATTTTATCGACGTTTGTCACTCCTGTACACGTTATTAATTATTGGTCTTGATTAACTTTCGCATATTTATCCGACACTACACTAATTTATTTTCTTGAGTCTGATGTTGAAAGAACGTAGCTCAACTGGTGGCACAGCGCTGAGTGAAAAATAGCTAACACGTAGGCAAATTTTTGTGAACAATTTATTCCTTTCTAAAAGTTTGCAGCCGTAAACGTCCATATTTTCATAATATCGAAAAATACATAATATTAATCCACAAAACACGTGAGCCACCACTTTGAGAATAAATGCTTCTTCCATTGTTCCCATTTGAGACCACCTGAATACCGCGGGTAATTTACTGTATGTAAGTAAGCTTATATTAACTGTCCAATATGTATGTTTAAATGTATATGTTTTCTTGTAAGTTCCAACTTTTAAGCGAATTTTCACACTACTTCCAGCCCGCAGGTTGGAAATAAATCGGTGGGCGGGTTTATTAACGCCTCCCGTTTCTTTATATAAATAAATGACGCCAGTTCTTTAACAGGCCTGGCCTGCCTTGCCTTTTTATGTGGTAGTATTAGTCCTTAAACGCTGACGTGTCGTGTCCTTATTCCCCGGATTTTAATGCTAGCCGTCGCCGCAGATTTTAAGGCTTTACGGTGCACTGACCCGATTTCAGCTCCCCTTCCGTTTTATGTGACACAGCGAATAAAATCCCGAATCGGTATAGACTGCGCTAAAAATACTATTTAATACGGCACTAAGAGTGCGCCAGTAAATCATTAAAATTGCCGCGTATATTCCCTAATAGTTACGAGGATTTTCTCCCATCCCTGGTTTATGAAGCATGGGGCTCTGTCCAAGGTGCTGAAATACTCCTCCTACAAACAAAGGGCAAATTAAGACGAATATGAGTGAGTCCCCACAATGTGTTGTCCCACAGGTAGGGAGAAACACGGTAACTAGTTGCACTTCTGATGGACACTCTTTTAAGCATAAAGAGAATGGTTAGAGCACCTTCACATTGTTTAATTTCGACTGGCAGGAAATCATTAACCTTAAAGCTTCCGTCTGACATCCTTTTTATCTGACATCTTTCTATCTGACTAATGCTTTATGGCCAAAATGATTATGGTAATTCATCATCAATAAAAATCAAATACATTTTATATCCATTGCCCCTGGTTACAACTCTACCTGCAAGCACAATATGAGGGCTGTAGGTTTTACTACTGAGACCTCTGCATGTTGGCGTTTCTCTAACAGTCAGGCTGTGTCCGTGTGTTATGCTGAATATATTACCATGGGGACAGATGAAGGTCGTTTTATGGACTTTGTTGTCTGTGCTCTTATATGGGGTTCAGGGCTCTTGCGTGAGGAAAGTGGAGTCTCTTTTGCATTTTTGGGATGTGACCACGTGTCTTCCTCCTGTGTTTCCGGTTGAGTTTATTTAATGCCAGCTTCAGTCATGCTCAGTTCTTCATTCCTGCCCAGTCCTATATTTTTGCACCTTGCCAGTTAGCTGATACTATGTATAGTTTACAGTAGACTGCCTGTTGCAGGATTCTGTTAGCACCTTCCAGCCGAAAATTCTCTGTGTTCTGTTTTTCCACTGATTTAGGGCATTCACCAAAATAATAAATTGTTAGAGGAACATTAAAGTGAGGAACAGAGCTGCTTTGGGTGACATGTTACCTGTCATCACAGCCGTGGCACATATTGACTCAGTCTTGATTGATTCATCTGAAGAGCACAAAACCACAGCAGGGACAGACCGGGAAACATCAGTTCAGTTCTTACTAATGTTCTGTTTTGCAGAAAAGTGTCGGAGACTGTTTCATGTAGCGGTGTTCTGGAGATGAATGTGTTTAGTGTGACCTGGGCATTGAGAGATACATTAGACTTGGTGTGATGAGGAAGATTGGCTGTGACAAAGGTAAGATGCAAGGGAGGCAGAACTGAAAATCACTTCCTACTGTAGTACTATCATCTTCAGCCTTTTTGTTGTTGTAAACGCTTTTTTTGCGCCTTTTGGTGTTATAGGTAGAATTCAATAAAAGCAGCCTTAATTAGCCGTCAGTGGCCTTCAGGTTGAAGCGGTTAAAAGCACCCTTTGACCATTAATTCTCTGCTGATGTGGAAGTTATTGGCTTTCCCTCGGTGTCGACCCTGAGGATGGAGAGATTCGCACATCTTCATTTCTGAACCGTTTTGATTAGGTTTCCTCCCCCAGGTCCCGGCTGCTTTCAGAGCAGGGTGAAGGTTTGCCACTGGATCCTGCCCCTTTATTAAATCTCCTTATAGATGGGGATTTTACTTGTGTGGGTTAATATCAGCAAAATATACAGTTATGACCTTGGACACAATATGCTTTAAGCCGCTATTTGTCTATTCATATGACGCCTCTCCTTTTCTGTCTTTAATCCAGTCTGATCCCCTAATTCAGCCTCTGTTGCTGCCCTATGAAAGGTAGGAACTGAAGTGGAACCAGTCTTTTATGAGCGATTGTGTTCACCCGTAATTGATATTTACACAACAGTGGCTTGGCTCGTTGGTGAGCCCTTGTCACACAGTGGGCACGAGCACGGGAAAGTTCGAGTGGGTGTTGTCTGTAGTGAGGGCTGCTGGATGCCTGTTTTGAGGCTTTGGGGAGCTGCCCAATGGGAGAGAACTCTTTTCTCTTCAAGGGTGGCTTGAGCGCTGGCCTGTAAAATATTCTTAAGATGGGATATTATTGGTATAAAATGCTGTATGGCTGACCATTGGGAGCTTGAAGAAGATAAGTAAGGGTAACCAATGTCAGCGGTCAGGCCAGTTTTGACCCCATCATGCCACCGTATTCATATGCTCCACTGTAGCATTGTGGGTAATGTCATGGGACTGGGATTAAGCCAGCCATTCCCGTGTTATTGATCAGTGACTTTCCAGCATTCGTTCAGCATTTCAGGTTGACAGAATAGCTAGTGAAGAGATGTGAATTTGGCTTGACATATGGGGTAACGCCTGCGATTAGATGTGCGGCATTTACTGAGGTGAAAAATGAACCATCCAGGTCCGTGTTTCATTCCAAACTTTATTGTTTTTATAGAGATTTATTACCCTGAGGTCTTCAAAGCTGTTGTCTTTTCGCACCCCCTGTACCACCTACGGCCATATTAATGATGTTGATGTACATCTGTGGGCTCTGTTGCCCAGGCTTTGCAGGGGTAATTTTAAACTCCATTGATAATGCACCCCGTGCCTTGACCGAACATGTTGGATGGCATTAGCATGCATTATGTTCACTGGGGGGGTGCTTTGCCTGGCCGTGTGTCGGCAGTCATGCATATGCAAATGACCATAATGCAGCTGGAAAATATGGGCTGTTTAATATTTGACCCTGCAAAAATATGGGAAAATGACTAATTTTATAAGACTGTGTGAAGCCATCACAACTAATGTAGGGATGAAGACATTTGATGGCCATGTGGATGATGTTGGCTTTGACTTTGTCATGGTCAGTATATTTAAACCATATTTAGAAATGCTTTTTTTGGAACACAACCAATAGGGACCATGATTTTTTGAGTGCCTCGATGTTTTGTTTATATCTTTATGTAAGGTGTATATATAATTATTTTATATTGGTTTGTTTAAAAAAACTTGTCCAGAAACTTGAAATCCTCTTGCCTGCTGTTTGACGTCTTTTTGTCCTCTTACCACACAGCAAAATTAATTCTGATATGAAATCTCAATCGTTTGACTTCAAAATAGCAATTATTCATTTTCCAAGTTCAAAGAAGGACAGCATACTCCAAAATCTGGAATCGGTATTTAAATGAGTTAAATGATCCATGTTTGTTTACTAAGATTTATGAAAATGGCTTGTGCAAAAAAAAAAAATGCTGTGTCTTGAGCATTCATGTAGATGTCTGTCCCATTCACTCACTCCACGATGACACATATATTACATCTGCAGTCATAAGGCTTCTTCACCCAGATTTGGACGGATGACATTCTTTTTGTTCCCAAGGAATTTGGGGGTCGTGACCCCATTAAAGTAGGGCAGCTAATTGGGCTTCTGAATATCACAAACAAACAAAACCCTGGCTTCCCCAAGGCCGCTGAGGGTTGACATTATGAAGTGGGAACATCTGCTGTTATGGGAGCCGAAATAGCTTCTACTTTCTGGAAGCAATCACTGCAAAGCTCTGTCCTTCTTGGCAGACGCCATGCTGAAGCTCCAACAGTGGAAAAATAAAGTGACAGAGTGAGTTCTGTTTTCCACTCAATTCGCTGGTACACTGAGAGAGATGCCGGTTAGATGTCTCCCACCAGACCACTCAGCATCTCCACGCACTCTGTCAGTATCTTTCTGAACTTGTCATTTCCGACACTGTCAGGCATCTCTGGTTGCATCTCTGAGACTCTCCACATTGACTTGTCAGACTTGGGGCTCGGGGTTCGTCTCCAGGTAAGCATGTT